TCGAATGATAGCTCCGCAAGGTTTGGCTGTTCTTCAATCATACCGTAACTGTTCGACGATTGAACTTTTGAAAACTGGTTCCTTGCCTTTACCTTTTGACTAGGCATGGAAACGTTGGGGAAGTTATGCCTCCTTATAGCACCCGATAAATGGTCTCTCTCGCTTCTCGGCCTCCTTTACGCCGAGTCAGGCCTTCAGGCTAGAATTTCGGTTATTCTTGGCTGGACAACTTAGCCCATTGGACGACAGGTCTGTCTCCTATTTTCTCTTAGCTGATTTTTTTCGGATATACGCAAATAAAAAAAAATCACTTATGCAACTGCCCCGATTCATCGCCAAGTCGGTTCAAGAAGTATTAATATTAAACTATACTGGCAACCCATCAACAAAGCAACCATTAAGCACATCGAATATCCCTTTTTAGCTAGTGCTATGGACTATCGCGGTCAAGAATGCCTGCTCTTCCCGAAGGGGTTGAGATGATAGACTGTTTGATAACCAACATGGGGATCGTCGACAAAATGGCTTCACCGTGAACGAGTGTGCATCCAATAAATAGAAAATTTACATTTAAATCTACAAGACTATAGATTACGGATATAAAATAATATCCAAATCCACAATTTGTAGATATGGATTGCGGATATCCATGGATATTACAGATCGTGCTGCAGTCTAGTTATAGTAGCTAATATCGACATTTATAGCCCTTTTCTAAATAACTACTAGGTGAATAATTTGTTGGATATCTTCCACTTAGCAATTGGCTATCGTTATGCTATTGCTTTTTGCCTTATGTGTCCATCTTCGATAAGGTGCGCTAGACAAGGGTCTGTAACAGTCACCTTCCGAGTTGACCTCAAGGGTATTGAGTCTCACTGGGAAGTAACAGACCGGCCCGTCCCTATCGACAAAGGAAACTGGTGGGAGAATCTTCATCAAACAATTATTAACTTTTTGGGAAGTGCTCTCCCGGAAGACTACAAGAAAAAACGTATCGAGTAGCTCCAAGCACTCAAGCCGAAGCTTGAGCTCAATACACTGGGCCTCGGCTTTTTCCTCACTATAAACCTGTTGAATCCGGGGTCCAAGGTTATCAAAATTGACAGGGAGGTTGGGATGCGCGTGCCGGGGAACTTGCTCCTGGTTGGATCTGTCGTGACTGAGTAATCCGCTGAAGTGAAGTATACATCCCTGGTGGTCGTTTCATGCTTTACTAAAGTAGGCTCTAGCGACGTTGTGGAGAAGATAGTAGGCCCGACATGGCTGCCTTCAAGGGCATTACATATATACGCTAGAACAAAAATTGCGAAGTAATCGTTCGTCATGGAATTCTACAATACAGTAAATGAGTCCTTGTGTCTTGAAGCTCTCACTGTGCGGGACTCCAGCCTGTACGGCATGTACGGAGAGCACGTAGGGGAGGAGAGAAATGAAAATAGCGAAATTGTAAGCTATGGAGCAAGCGAGAGATATGGTCTGTGATGATATAACATTCAAACAAGTCTTGTGTTTCCAATACCTATACGAGGTACCAGCTCGGTCCATGATGCACTCTAAGCCCCTCTCTCCTCTAACACCCTCCTCAGCACCAGCTGCAACTCATTCACATACTTCGGTCCCAACATATCCGCATGCCTCCCTGCACACTGATGCACTACCATCCCCTTCTTCGACAACTTGTTCCACTGCCCCAAATACCTCTCTACCCAACAGACCCGATCATCCGTAACTGTCACCAACGGATCCACCGCAAACACATCCACCGGCACCTCCACACTACCCCCGGGAGCATATCCCTTCGCGGCACTCGAGAACCCCGCAATAACATCCGTAACATGTTTCAATCCCGCCCTATCCAATCTCAACACCTTCAATCTCTCCTTATCCGCCTCACCCAGAATCACATCCAGCGCGACCTCAGCATCCACATCCCGCAACTGCGGCATAAGCGCCACGCACCTCGGCTCGTCGATAAGCTCATAGAAATACCCGACCATCACCAGTCCCTCGTTCCAGGTTAGTCGACCAACTAAGTCCGCGATATCGGGCGGCCCGTCGAGCGCGCCCAGGAATCGCACTTCCTCACCGGCGGACTCAAGCCGTTTGGCGATCTCAAAAGCTATGCTGCTGCCTAGCGAGTACCCGGCGATGGCGTACGGGCCGGAGGGCTGAGTGCGCCTCATGGCGGCCGCGTATGTGTCTGCCATCTCGGTGATGGTGGCAAAGAGGGACTCGCCGGGCTGTACGCCGCGGGAGCGGAAGGCGTAGATGGGACGCTCGTGGAAGGCTCGGGCTAGGTTGGTGAAGATGAGGACGTTGCCAGAGGCGGGGTGGACGAGCCATAAGGGGGCTTTGGGGCCGGAGAGTTGCAGGGGCACGACGGGATCATATTCATTGGTGGTGTCTGATACTAGAGAGAGGGCAGAGGTAGGGCTGGCTTGTTGCTTGGAGGCAAGGCGTCGGGCAAGACCGGTGACGGTTGGGTCAATGAGGAGGTCCGGGACGGTGAAGACAACCTGAAAAGTCTGCTGCAGATCCTGAGTGACGGTGTAGAAGTCGAGCGAGGAGAGACCTAGGCTGAAGAGGTTGGTAGTCACACTGACAGAGTCTGGATCCATGTTGAGGCGCCTGCAGACGAGGGTGAGGATGGTTTGCTCGGTGGGCGAGGAGGGAGCCTGGCGGTGCGCTTGGCGGTGCGCGTGGATGATGGTCTCATGGGCTTCCCGCTCGGAGTCGAGAGCCCCCGACTCGAAGATGCACCGGAAGTGTGCTCGGGAGAGCTTGCCAAGGGAGGTTCTCTCAAAGTAGTTCTGTGGCAGGGGAAGTATAGCGATGGGCTTGACGTGCACGGCCAGGCTGGCGATGCGCTCGATGGCTTCGTTGGTGGCGACCCGAGCTGCAGCGTCGTCTAGGGCGTAACTGGGCAGGTATACCACACAGTAGGACTCGGTAACGGCGCCAGCAGGCCGGTGGGCAAAAGCCAGCGTGAAGCTTGGGGTCAGACCGGGGATACGCGCCTGCTCGAGGCTGTGCTCGACCTCGACCGCGAAGATGGTCAGCCCATTGAGTAGGAGCGTGTCCTTGGTGCGGCCAGTGACGTACAGCTGGCCGTGTACGTCCAGGTAGGCGTTGTCGCCCGTGATGAACCAGCCGTCGGACGTGAAGGCTGCACGGGTGGCAGCTGGATCACGGTAGTATTGGTTGAACAGCACGGTTCCGCGTAGTTGCAGCATGCCCTCTTCGCCGGTTGCCGCCTCACTCTTGTCGGTCTCACGCAGCACGCGCATCTCCACCCCGGGAATGGGCCGGCCGCAGGACATAAACTCGCTAGTCGCGTCGTGGAGGTCATCTAAAGTCCGGTCGACCAGGTCCCAAGCCATGCCCGCGCATGACTCAGTCAGGCCGTAGCCGGCACGGATGAAGGTCTGGGCGCCGTAGGGCTCCAGGGCACGAATGAGCTGCACCGTCATTTGTCGCACGGTAGCCTCGCCCCCGGAGAAGACGCAGCGCAGACAGGAGAGGTCCCAGGTCGGGGCAGGCTTGGCCTTCTGCTCCGGCGTGGGATTACAGACGAGATCGCGCAGCTGAGCCAGGAAGAAGTTGGGGGCAAAGGTGACAGAAATCCGATGGCGATCGACAAGGTCGAGGAAGCGGCGCGGCTCGGCCACCATCAGATCCGTGGCTACCTGGATCTGCTCGGCCCCAAGCCGCATGGCTTGGAGGTGGATCTCAACCAGGTTGACGGCGTGGTCGAGTGCGACCCAGCTCATGAAGACGTCGTGTGAGGTCGCCCTGCAGTGCGCAGTTTTACCAGCCGCTGCAGCCAGCATTTGCGGCTGGCGGAGACACACAGCTTTAGAGAAGCCGGTACTGCCAGAGGTGAGCATCAGTGCTCCGAGATCATCGGCCCGTTGGTTGCGACCCATCGGAAGCGGAATGGAGGCGGAGGAGGAGGAGGAGGAGGAAATCAATGCGGATTCCTGATCCACACGATACAGACGTGGAGTGTCGACGCCCTGAAAGGCACATGCCATGCGGCTGTTGCTGAGCACTACCGGGTCATCCAGCATCTGGAGAATGTGTTTGGCCTGGGCAATGCGACGGTCGGTCGAAACTGCAAGCTTGGGGACAATACAAGGCAAGTATCCCGCGACTGTGCAGGCCCAGAACCAGCGGATGTTTTCCTCATGGGTGTCAAAATGCAGCAGGAACACCGTGTCTCGCTGTAGGTTCGGCATGCAGGTTTGCAGCCAGTGTGCATCGTGGCGGGCCTGGTCAAGCAGCTGGTAATAGGAGAGACGCTCTCCAGCCTCTGTATCTGATGGTGAGGTCTTGTAAAAGGTTACTCCTGCAGACGTGGTTGCAGCTCGCTGCAGAAGCTCAAGCAGGCTGGTGGCCTCGCGGTGGGGCCGGGCCTCATGGATGCTTTCTGGAGTGTAGCTCTGAAGCTGGTCGTTGCTCAGCCCAAAAGCGGCAGGTGAAGGAACAGGATGCAGTAACATGATAATGAGAGGGATTTCGGGATGATTTTTTTTTTCGACAATCCCTATGGCGCTTGAGTACATTTTTATGGGCGGGCTGCAGAGCTAAGCACTGCCCTTGCGGATTTACGAGGCTTGTCTTAGCAGATGAGGCATACTAGAGAGGGGGCAATAAATGCGATGAATCTTACTTGTGCAGGAATTAGGGCCACTGCAGGGGCGGAAATGTGGACCGGTTGTTCTGCTAAACCCTGGTCCTTCCCCTCTTCGCTTCCCATAAAGATTGGAACTAATGTAAAGTCCAGCAGAGTATCCCTGTCACCATAATCAATCTGACCACAGTCAGGAGGCAGTGAAAGTTATTTATCAGCGACCAAATTCCTCTGCTCTGACAATGGGCTTCGCTGGGTTGTCAAAGAGGGTCTGATAATCTGGCAAAATAGTCCTCTCATCCCATCTCCACCAATTGTCATATTCTTATCTTTTTGTTATCTACATGACTCGATCACCGTCGCCATGTCGGATAGAATGTCCTCGTCGTCCTCTGCCCACTTTTCCACGCTAACCGCGGCAGAGCTGGCGGCGTGGTCGCAGTCCCTCAAGCCAGTAGTGCTGGGTCTCTGTATCACTATGTTGGCACTTGGCAATTTGGGGGTGATGCTACGTATCTGGGCCCAATGGCGCATTCAGAAGCGCCCCATGCAGGAGGACTACTGGCTAGTTATGGCCGTCGTATGTTTCTATCTTCTTCCGCCGCTCTGCATACACGAACTCGGCTACGTTCACTAACCCCTCCTTCTCTGCCTTTAGCTCTTTGCCAACGTGGTCTCCATCGCCACTATAGTCGCAGTGCACTATGGACTAGGGTACCACATCTTCCGCGTCGAATCTGAAGATCAGTCGCGACATGCGTTGAAGTGGATATTCCTCTGTGTGTGGCTCACTGCCGCTTTCAACGGGCCTTCGATGCTGGCCACCAAGGTTGCCCTGCTCCTGTACTACCGCCGGCTGTTCGTCGTGCAGCAGATCTGGCTGCGCATCTACTGGTGGACTAACATGGTGTATGTGGTTCTGTGGGGCATTGGCTCGACTATCACATACGTGCTCTCGTGCGTGCCGGCCAGCTTCTACTGGGAGCGCTTCGACTCGCAGTCGACCATGCACGGCACCTGCCACAACACCACCAGCGCCGACGGCCTGCCGCTGATTCTGGACCTGGTCTCTGATGTCGCGATCCTGATCCTGCCCATTGCCACCATCGCTACTCTGCAGATGCCGCTCGCCCGCAAATCGGGGCTCATGATTGTGTTCTCGGTCGGATTCATGTAAATTCCCTCCCCTCTGCCTGAATCTCCTTATATCCATAACCTAATCTTACTCCGCAGCGCCATCGTATCCGCTGTCGCTCGCGTGGTCGTTCTCTACAAGGAGACGAACCTGCACTCGGACTTTACCTACGCGGCCGCGCCCTTCGAGCTGCTGGACGTGATCCAACTCAACATGGCCATCGTGTGCGCGACCGCCGTGCCCATCGCCTCGGGATTCCGCGTGGCTTTTAGCAAGAAGTTTCGCAGCTCCAAGAGCTGGACGGCGGGGGGCGTGGGCGGGAATACGTACCACAGCCGCGTCTCGACGGTAGCGGCTCGGGCCGCACGCCTGCGGCTTGAGGAGGAGGCCAGCAGCAGCACTGAACAGCTGCATATGGGGCACTTCACCACCAGCTGTGCCTCCAAGGACCCGGAAGACCGGGCACGGGACGGAGCTCTTGTGTCCGCCAACGGGATCGTGGTGAAGATAGATGTGGATATCCGGTAGTATACACTGTACAGTACATAAGAAGTACAGTGGAAACACATACCCTAATAGTACCCATACTGATTACGATTATTTCCCTTCCCCGTTCATACTCATACCTCATACTAATAATCCTATTCCCACCTTGCCACTCACTAACAAGTCAACTCACTCCACCCTGGTAGCACACCACCAAATGACCCTGGTATTATCATCCATAAACTTCGCCTTATCCCGCATATTAGTTGTCGTTTCCCCGATCTCCAACTCCGCCTGCACCTCCCACTTACTCCCCGTCCTCACACCCACCTCCTTCCAAAACTCCACCAAACTCTCCACATTATGCCTATAATGCAACATCGTCTTATCCGTCAACCCATTCAAATCATACACCCCGGCCACTGTACTCCCCATCTGCCGTCCACAGACGATCGACCCGGGCTCTCCCCTCGTCAACCCAATCAACCTTTCCACGCCGCGTAGCTGCCCCTCATACTCCCAAAAGTGCAATAACGAGCCCGCCCAAACCACATCTATCTTACCCTTCATCTTGCCCACGATCTCCGCCTTCTCCCAATCCTCATCTGACACACCTAGATCCGCGCCCACGAAGGTAGCGGGGAAGGCCTCCGCATTGTCGCCGAAGAGCTTATAGCCGAGCTCGAAGAACCCAGCTTCTAGATCGAACCCATATAATTGGGATCCGGGAATAGAGGCTGTGTAGACCAAATGCCGAAGCTCCTGGCCGACACAGCAGCCTGCGTCGAGGAAACCGTTGGCAGGGGATACGCGCAGACGGGCAAGCACGTGCTGGTAGAATGGCAGGCGGGAGAGGTGACAACCCAGGAAGCGCATTTGGCCGATGCAGGGGTAGGGGAAGATTTGAAAGGCTTCATCTCTCTTGGTAATTGCAAGGGGTTTCAGTTAGAGGGGGGAAGATGAGTGCTTCAAAGCAGGGGTGTGTGTCTGTGCCTACCAGGGCTAAGACATGGGGAATGACCTCTTCGGGTTTGAGCCCGCTGTAATTCTCCAGCATGGACTGCGCGGCAGGGTCGATTGCCGTGACGCTGGTTTGGTACCAGGCTGGTTTGGTGGTGGTAGTGGCCATGGTGGCTAAGATTTCGCCTTGGCTGGAAACTCAATGTCGGTTTGATAGATGGACTAGAGAAATGAATCTGGACATGTTCGCCGTTCAGTTTAATTGTAGGGGAAGGTTATTAATTAAAAAAAGCCAAGATGCCTAATCTCAATTGCATTTCCCCGACCACAGCCTGTCTGCCTCGACTACCAGGTGCTAAAATAGTGGTATTATGGTGCTCCACCAGTTTTTGTATGGTAAAGCATATGCAACGGGGTTTTACGCCAAACTCTGCCTGCCTGCTTAACCTACCCAACCTACCTGATTCGTAAAATTTTGAAGCAGTGTAAAAAAGGAAACGAAAATATAGACATAAGATTATCTATACGATCCTAGTGTCCCTACATACCGCCTTGCCGAGGGATGTAGATAGCCTTATATTACCACAGAACAGGTGAACATCTGAACATCGCTACCGAACCAGCAAGAAATCCTTCGAAGAAGGATGCACATCCAAGGGGGTTGGAAGGGGATAAGCAAGAGATCAAGAAAAAAGCAACTGATGCCTCACATGCTACCTGCCAAGGAGGGGTAACTAAACTACTGCCGACAAGAGCATTTAGCGTATAAAGCTTAGCCATATATAGTAGCTTGCTAATGCATCGAATCCACCTACCACTAACACATTCCCATACCCGTCGGATGTCCGTCAGCAAATCAAGTCCAAACTTCTCCGCGCCACGTTAGGTAACTCCGTACTGAAAGCAACATCCCTGCTTCAACTGGCAATGCTCGTATCGGGAGTCTGCCCATCATCATGCTCATCCCAAACAACCTCCACCACTGCCAATGCGCTCCCCTCGGCCCGCCGGACTCCAAGCCACCGAAACCGCCCGTCCGCCTCCCGTAGCAACCCCCGCCACTGCGCCTCGTCTCTCTCGCGCGAGTTGAGAAGCTGCAGCATATTCACGTCCATATTACTAGTGAGTCTACGCTTCCACATGGGTTCCTGGGCCGGGTATGGCTCAAGGACATGGTCATGGATAAGCACACGTGCCCCGGGGCAGAGCGCCGGGCGCAACTGCCGCAGAATCCGTACCGCATGCCGGTCGCCCCAGTTATGGAGGACGTGGCGGAGGTAGTAGACACGCGCGCCGCGGATGGTGGGTTGAGGGGTGAAGAAGTCATGCGCTTGGAATTCCACTTTCCCGAGTGCCTCTGTTGCTGATGGTATATGCTGCTCCTTCGCGCGAGCAATAACGCCCGGCAAATCCTGCACCACAAACCTCAGGTGCGGGAATGCCGCCGCCAGCGCGAAGCTGATGTCGCCCTGCGCGCCGCCAACGTCGACGACGACGCTATCTGTCGGAAGGGTAGAGAGTAGCGGGTGAATGGAGGAAATCAGTCCCGCGGTGCCCATAGCGGCCCCTGATGCATAACCGCGCTTGCTGGCGGCGAACGTGGCGGCGCGGTCGGGCGACTGTGAAAGGACGTCGTAAAGGGCCAGGCCGCTGTTGGCCAGGGCGAAGCCCTATGCAATGTCAGCGCTCAGTGTATCTAGGATTCCCCCTCCCCCTCTGCTGCATGGCGCTACGTTTGGGAATTTGAAAAGACGGGTGATCTGGAGGGTTCTCGAAATCCAGTTACTGGGGTCACACTAACCGACTCATTCGGCTCCTCGGAGCCAGGAAAGCGCTTTAATGCTTCGATAGTCTATATGTAAAACACACCCCTGTTAGCCGAGATGAGGAGCTGCGTTAGGCTAAGGGGGGGGGCACTATATACCCTGGTCGCGCCGGGCCAACTATTCGCGCAAGTCGAGCCAATCCAACCATGAAACCCCTCCTGTCGCAGCAGCATGCTGGCACGCGTGTGGGCGACTTCACTCTCAGCGGGCTCGTCAAAAATGCGGATAGTCATGGCGTGGCGAAGGAGGCGCCGGACATCGGCTTCTGGGACGTTACACTGCGCGGATAGGGTTGGAAAGGTGATTGTTCCATTAGGCGGGACCAGATGCGCAATGTTGAATTGCTGGATGAAGTGCAGGGCAATGAGATGCGCGTGCTTGTTTTCATTGCATTAGTAATAGTTGTAATTTCAGGGGGGGGATGGAGGAGGGGTACAGTGGCATAGGAGCGTAGGAGATCGGCTGGGTCAAGGAGCAGGTCCTGGATCTCACACGCGGCGTGCAGGAGGGCGTTGCGTGCAGCCTCGACCGGCGGGGGCAGCGCCAGTGATGGAGGGCAGGTGGCTGCAAATGAGGGCTCGTCAATTCCGTGCTGGGCTAGCAGGGATTGTAATTGCTTGGCCGAGTCGGCAATGGTCGTGGCCAGGGCTTCAATGCGCGAGGCCATGGTGAACCGGGGGTGTGGGTAGATGGTACAGGGTGTCGGGGATCTTATTTTCAGACGATCTATGCATCTGGGACCTCGGTCGCTGGTTTTCTACAGCGGTTGTCGATGGTAAAAGCGAGATCGCATAACAGACTACACGCACTATAATATGACTACTATCAGAGAATCCCACTGCGTATAGTTTGGCCCCCACTAACAGTCTTAGTGCATGCCGCTTACATTTAGTAGGTTCTAGGGTCGGCTTTTCGCTACGTGCCTTTGCCGGTCTTCCGAGAGTCGGGATTGCTTACTGTACACGCTGAGTATATACAAAGCACGCGATGTGCCAGTTTGCCTTCCACCTATCCAGCTCTATGAATGTCTTTTGAGAAAGATGTGGATCAGACGGAGGCCACCGCCGCACCGACCAGGGCCAGTGCACCGGCCAAATAACTCCCCGCGGCCATCTTGTGGCCCGTCCCACTCGACGTCTCGCTAGCGGCAGCGCCGGTGCTGGTGCTGGGGGCGGATCTGTCCGAGCTGGTGCTGGTGTCGTTGCTCGCCGCTGTGACGCGGAAGTAGTTGGCCGCGACCGGCGAGCCCAGCCCGGTCTGGTTAAGGAAGCTAACCAGCGGCAGGTTCAGCCGGTTCATCGGAGTGTCATCGTCGGTTAGCATGAATGATTCGTAGCGGTCGGGGATGCTAAAGTTGGTGGACTGGTTGAAGAGGAACAGGGTGTAGTTGTGGGTGCCCGACCTGGGGGCCGGGGCGATATAAGAGGCCAGCACATTGGCGTCGCTGCTGCTGTTGACGGCGGTGGTCAGGTTGGCGACGACGGTGTGCACAATCACCGAGGGTGGAGTGGTCTTGTTCCAGTCCGGGTCGATCATGAGCAGCAGATAGGGTCCCGAGTTGCTGAGCCCCATGCCATGGAGATGCGGCTCCGGAGCGTCCTTGGCCACTATAGATGGTTTATTAATCAGTCAGACAGTCTGGAACGGGGATCGGTCGTGCATACCGCTCGCGTTTAGAAACTCGCCGGGGGTAAAGCTGACTGCAGTCGATCCCAAGGAGAAGGTGACATTCAGCACCTTCGACGTCTCTCCAATGCTCACCAGCTCAGGGGGGGCGGCATCCGCGGCTGCGGCAGTGGCAACCGCGGCGAAGGCAGCAATGGCAGAGACAAGACGCATGCTGGGGATATATGTTGGAGCTGGACCTAGCTGAGTCCACAATTGGGTGGGAGTGGGGTTAAATAGAGAAACCTGCGAACTGTGCACTGTTCGACACTTTGCCTATAATAGGTCGGTTACCGACAAGCAATGCGCGAATGGCTCCATCAGCCTTGGCCCTGTCTAGGGGAGAAAAGGTGGCGTTTCCACATGGTTGGTGGCTGTTAGCGCACATGGTTCAGTATTTCATTTAATTAACATCTCATGGCTGCATCTATGGCGCAGTCCCCCCTACACAAATTATTGTACGAATATCTACCTACAAATCTAGCTTGCTTACTCGCGCGATTGCGAACTGGACGCTGCTGGTTATCAACATACGCACAGGCGTTACGCTTCCGTGACGACTGACCTGTACACTTGTGTGGAGCGAGAGGGTGTGCCTCAACATTTACCGGATTGACTGCGTCGCCGGCCAAGATGGCGGGCTTTGCCAAAGTCTCATAAAGGCTTCAAAAACCGGGCCCGATGGGGGCAGCGTGATAGCAACAGCGTCTACTAGGGCACGGCAGGCTTCGGCGAGGTATTAAGTTCGCTTAGGAAATATATATACGATATTGTAATTTTTAAATAAAGATTGTATATATACTGTTTATTAATTTATATATTAATAATAGATATTATAGTAATATAATATCTTATTTAAATAAAGTAATAATCTAGATTATATCTATTTAATTATATATAAAATCACGACTAAACTATTCTTTAAAATAAAACTCTTTTAATATTAAATAATTTTCTAGATTTTAGTAGTATCTACTAATTCTTTTCTATATTAATTAATTAAATATTGTATAATTTTG